ACCAGAGTTAGTGATTGTTGGAAACACTAACAGAGAGTTTTATTTTGTTTCTGTCCACTTTGAATGAAGTGATGATGTTACGATGATATTCAAGGTAAAATTACTGTTTTTTATCCTGTCACATTTAATCAGATTCTGTCTCTCTGCTGCAGTGAGTGCAGACTGAGCCTCAGAGCGCTGTCTCGTGTTACATGGAAATGCAGCGATCCACATCCAGTCTGACTTTCAACACAGGGACCAGCAACATGAAGCAGAGGGTTCAAAATGCAAGAGAGGCAGTCATTGGCTGAAGGGGGACTGTTCGAGCAAGAGGATCAGCTGGGTTGGGGGTGTCAGAGGCCCGGTCCACCTCGCACTGTACCTCTGTAGCGCGGCTCCACGTGGTAGCTATACCGCCGGTCGATGCAATAAACTCCTGCAGAGAAAGCAGAGAGAAACGGTCCTGGAAGGTGAACTTTATCTGACTTTATGGATATTTCATACTATATAAAACTGTACAATGAACCAAATAGTGACTCAGTGACTCAGGAAGCTCAGACTGACCCAGTTCACTAAGGTTACAGTAGGCCCCCCACTCTGGAGCACTGTTCCTGTGTCGCTTCTTTATCTTCATCTGGAAAACATGAACACAATGATTTCACCTTAGAAAAGACACTTTTAAAGAAATAATGCGCCCATATTATTTTTTAAATACCTGGAAATATTAATACATTTACAAAAATAGCCTGTGAATTTACATGTCTAATGGAAAATAACGTGAAAAATAGACAAAATACATCTGCTAATCTATAAATTCTTCTTCTTCTTTTGCAGATATTTACTGTTTATTTAATAAATAGAACAGATTGGTAAATTCAAGTTTAATACTGTTTATATATTTATAAAATTATGTAAGTAAGTAATTGTTCTGCAATTTTACATTTGTTTGTTTGTTAACAGATATCTTGTATAATTTTGGAAGTTTTCACAACAAAAACGTTGAATAAATGTTGTTTATCAGTGTATAAGCAGGTAAACTGTCAAAATGCAGTTTTTATCAGTGAAAACAGCTATAATTACTGTAATTTCACAGATAATGACTTTATTACAGTTCTATAACTTTTCAAATTTGGTTTAAAAATCTAATAATAAATTTACAGATTATTTGTTTTATTTGCCTCTATTTATAAGTAATTTTATTATTTTTATATGTATACATATCTTTAATTAAACATTAAAAAACCAAACAATTAGAGAGAAAAACATTAGCCTAAAAAACTGTATTGTAATTATAAAAAATTACTACTAATTGTACGAGTCAGTTTATTGTTATAGGAAGACTAGCGACCACTTTGTGGATCCAGTTTAAGAATAAAGAATAAAGCATCCTGCAGCCCAAACTAACTGTTAACAGACAGAGTTTTCCTCCAGTCAGAAGGCCCTTGGACGCACCTTGGCGGAGCTCCTCTTGTCTGGCTTGGCGTAGTGAGCGGCGTAGGTGCAGGGCCCCAGGGTGCGGTAGCTGGGGTTGGAGAAGCAGCGGCCTACAGTGCTGTTACTGGGAGAGGACTCTGCAGAGGAGAGCAGCCCTGCACACTGCAGCCCTGCTGTCACCACACGACATCAGCACAGGTTCTTACATCCTCCTCCTCCACTCATCACCATCACACACATGCATATGCACACGCACACACCTCACGCAACGTATCTAAGCACTGAAAACTGCTAGAAAATGAAAATGTGAACTCAGTAACTGCAGGAAGTTCGAGTGTCACATAAAGCTGACCACCGTTTGTTGTGTTGTCCTGTGTTGTCAAGAAAAAGTCCTGGAAAAAATGATTTATTAACCTGATTATAAACTGAATATCTTTCGCCTGTAAGTAGATAAAACAAACAAATCACTTGTGTTTTGATTAATCGAAATAATAATCAATAATCAGTTGGAGTCCTGGTTCGGGTCCAGTCTGCCTGAATGTGAGGAGGGAACAATCAGAGATGCAGTACGGACGTCTCACCTGAGAGCGAGTAGTCGGTGGAATTGATGTGCAGGGCGGGCGTGTAGGTGACGCTCGGCACGTGGTGGCCTTTCTCTCTCTGCCGGTAGCGGAACCAGACCACCAGGCTGAGCATGGCCATGATGAGCAGCAGCAGGAAGATGATGCCGAGGACGGCGCCGGCCGACTGGCGCTCCGACGCCAGGGCCGGGCTGATCTTGGTGTAAGGGTTCAGCTCCTCCATCATCAGAGCCGCTGAGGAGGACATTTATATTCAAAGATCAATCAAGAAAATATGGCAGTTCACAGTTTACAGCAGTTAATGATTGCATTGAAAAAGGGGAATATCGAATATAAAATGTAGCTTACGAACTGACATTTACATTTTTATTGAACTTATTATAGTATAACTATTTTAGGAATTATGCATGACTGATGTTTTTAAAATTAACATCATATACATCACATCACATAAAAAAAAAGTCACACACCCCCTGCAGTACTCCAAAGGACCTATAGGGGCACCCCCAAACTTCTAATAATAGCTCAGCTTGAATTTCAGCTCGTACTTACCAGGCTAGTAAAGGAGACCTGCGTCTATTTGGGACTCTGCTTTTATTTAGTTACGAGTGTATTAAAAAATGATGGCGCTTTATAGAAGTAATCTCAACAGCTGATGGAGGGACTGCTGTGAAGTTGCAGACATGTTAGTCCAACGGAGAACTCTTTGTACCTTCATATTACACAAACACTTTCACTATCTTATGCAGAGTTTTCATCTCCATGTGCATGTGTGTGTGTTCTGCTGTTATCTTTTTGTTCAGGACTGACAGGAAGAAGCAGCATCAAACACTCGTCATCCAGCTGCATTACCCCCCCCCCCCCCCC